ACAAAAAAAAGAAAGAAAAACACATATGAAAAAAAAAATAAAGTCTGGCTCGCACCAGAAGGGCGAAGCGTGAAAGCACCGCGGAGCTGGGCCAGCTGCCATGTTTCTACTTTCTTTCTTTCTTTCTTTCTTTCTTTCTTTCTTTCTTTCTTTCTTTCTTTCTTTCTTTCTTTCTTTCTTTCTTTCTTTCTTTCTTTCTTTCTTCCTTTCTTTCTTTCTTTCTTTCTTTCTTTCTTTCTTTCTTTCTTTCTTTCTCGCTTGTTTCGGTCTGCGTTCCTCTCTATTTCTTTCGATATCTCTTCCATTCTGCCCCGCCGCGGTAGTCAGTGGCTAAGGTACTCGGCTACTGACCCGCAGGTCGCGGGATCGAATCCCGGCTACGGCGGCTGCATTTTCGATAGATGCTCAGGCTTGGGTGCACTTTAAAGAACCCCAGGTAGTAAAATTTCCAGAGCCCTCCACTACGGCATCTCCCATAATCATATGGCAGTTTCGGGAGTTAAACCTCACATATCTATCAATCTCCTTCATACTCTATTTCTCAATCATTCTATCTTCTTTTTTTCTCCTATCGTCCTTGATCCGTATCTGTATTTCTTGCTCTTTGTTTCTTCCTTGCTCTCTGTTTTTGACATAAGAAGACAGGGCCTGCAAGAACGGACACAAGACAGAAGTCAAGACATCGCAATCGCCTACTAACAAAACGATGGAAAGGGAAAAAAAAAACGGGAAAACTGATCAGTGCATTCCCAGGCAATAAGCGACCCCTACATGCGTGGCGTTCTAGGTGAAGGATTACTGTTGAGGCGTTTGATTCCATCTTTATACAAGTTCATCGATGGTATGCACTGCCACTATTATCGGTATGCTATGCCTATCGTGGACATACCTCAATCACCGGGCGCGTATTTTTCATTCTTGTGCCGGTACGAAACTGCGCTTCCATCGAACTTCGGTGTGTACTTAAACTCTCGATAATGTAAAGGTTGAATTTATGTTGAGACACTAGTTGATTGATTTGTGGGGTTTAACGTCCCAAAACCACCATATGATTATGAGAGACGCCGTAGTGGAGGGCTCCGGAAATTTCGACCACCTGGGGTTCTTTAACGTGCACCCAAATCTGAGCACACGGACCTACAACATTTCCGCCTCCATCGGAAACAGCCACCGCAGCCGGGATTCGATCCCGCGACCTGCGAGTCAGCAGCCGAGTACCTTAGCCACTAGACCACCACGGCGGGGCATTGAGACACTAGTTAGCGATCCTTTACGTACCAATGATATTTGGTGAATACAGTGGCCCGTCTGTTCACAGCCGCAAGGAACTTTATACGCCGCACTTTAATGGCAATCCGTGAATTTGTTGGTGTGCTTGACGAAAAAAAATTGGTTAGCATTTTGTATTCACTTCACATATTTTTTTCTCTATACGGCGGCAAAAATCTTGCCTAGCCTACTTGCAGCCGTAAAAACAACCTTGACGTCGTATGGACTTCCTATTTTCTTTATCCTGCTAGATACGCAATGAATGTACGATATAATTACGACACATTTCTTCCTATCGTTTTCTGAAACCATGATCAGGCTTAACACAACGGACTTATTTGAACGTTCAGCGACTGTGGCTAGTGTAGCACGAAGATAACCTACATTTAAAAGTCACGTAACTAGTACATTACGGCGGTCACTCATTTAGTGCTCCCACGACTTGATCAGGGAAGACTCAGGGCAAGACATTGCCACATCGTTTTTTACAACCCTCAAGTAATTTGACGAAGAAAAATTTAATTGACTTTTTAACAGAGGTTTGGAAGAGCTAGGAGAATACTGCCAGCATACGTGTTTTTTTAAACGCCAAGGAAATGTCTAGAAATTGTATTTCATTATTTTGAGGCATTTATTCAGTAAAGTGGAGCCCTCTTCCATTTAATTAAAGAAATTTCGTTCACGGAGGTTTTCACAGGTTCAAAGTCTTCACCACTACAAAAAAATCAAGTAATCATACGCATAAAAAAACCACAATAATTAAATTACCTAGGGCGACTTCTAAACATATGCCAATCTTGCCAAGGTATAAATCACTAAGAACCCAAGCAACCCAAGAACCAACAGATATTTCTGGTTTCAGCTCATCAACGCCTTCCTTCCAGCCATCTAGCGTAGACTTGAAACACATGCAAATCATTTTCATTAATGTCTCCGTAGAAATATCACAATTATCAGTGAAGATGGTCTTGTGCCCGCGTTCGTTAACACAAAAATGACCATCTTTTAACAAGTCCTCGTGCAGCAACGAGCAATCAAAGTATTCAACATGCCTAATAAGAGCTTTACAAAGAATGGCGCCCTTCTTTATGTTTTTTACATCTTCTTTGTGCCTGCTTTTTTCTATCTCGCTCTGTATATTCCTTCCTCCTTGTATCTTTTTCATTCATTTTCTTTCCGCCTTTTCTAATTCCAGACTATTGGTTTGTTTTACTATCTCTTTCTCTTCCTGTGCTCTCGTTCTCTTGTCCATTCAAGGTATTGCGTCCACGCTGGTCCAATCGCCTCCGCAAGAGCACGTGCCGGACAGGTTGGTTGATTGGTTGGTTGACACTTATTAACGTGGTGCCCACCACCAAGCGCCTGTTGCGTGCTCTCCCGCTATTTCTGTGGTGTGGAAGTTTTGTTAACGCTACGCGAAAAGCTTAAACAGCCTCACAAAAAGCATAAACAGCCCCCTTTTAAAACGTGAACCTTTGTTCGACCATCCTTTATAGTTGTTCACGCGTGTGTTCGTATTGGGTGGTGCGGGCCACTCTAATGTGCGAAGCCATGTCGATGAAACGCGGGTGCTTCCCCACTACCCTCCCAAAAAGAGGCTAAACCTTCTTTCTAGAAATCCGTAAAACACGAAAGTGAAACGTGCTTTCACGGAGGCAGTTGAGCGTTTATTGCGCATTGTTTAGCCACAAGCGCGAATGCATGAATGCTACAGCAACAAATCGCTAAGTCATGCGAAGAACGGCAAGCTGCTCGAACTTTGCAGCGCGCACCTCAAACAGAAAGCACGCACAAAATGAGCATGCACAGGACGAGCACGGACTAGCAACTGTCCCAGCTCGACACATAAAGCGCGCTGTCAAACAGAAAGAAAAACGCACGAAACGAACGCACAAGTATACGCAGGACAAGTGCGAACTACTGTCCTGTGTCATGTGTGAGTAGCACGCTCCTTTCGTGAACGCAGCCGTGGCAGCGAGGGAAGTGACCTTCGTGCCATGCTGAGTCTGATAAGCGCGCACAGGAGAGTCTACGCTTCGTGGATGTCGCGCTCATCGAAGCGCCAGATGCGACAGCCTTTACAACAAGCCCAACGCTAGAGTAACTGTATATGCTCCCTTTATGTAGCTGAGTAGCGCACGCGTTATCCAACGCCGCCAGCAACCATGCACTGCGGAGAAGCTGGCGCACAGGCCACCCCGCTGGAAGCGGTCGCCGTCCACCTGGAATCTATCAAGTGATCGTCGTTCGCTCTGTAGCTCATTAGCTACGAACTAGTGCTTTTATTTGCTTTATATTCATGTCCTTAAGCTTCGAAATCAAAGTATTTGATTAGATTCAACCCCATTTTCGGAAAACATACAGATATAATCAATGCTCAAGGCTGGGTGGGGTGCTCCTTGAAACTCGGAGGACCTATATTTTGTGTTTTTGAATTATCATCCTACATGGCACCACTTGACCATGCGCCAATGGTGGCGCATGTTATTCGGCACTACGCAACGCCTTCGCGCTTTGCGTTACCGGCCAGACTAAAAATGCTTTTAAACTCGCGTGGCACGTCCCGAAAGCAGGTGTTTCTGCTTTCTTTGTCGCTCGTTGAGACGCCAGGCACGTCCACTGGCGATAGGCGACACGCTTCGTCGATCAGCGGCAGGCTTAAGCAAGTCGCCTGCAAAAACAGAACGCGACTTCACCACAGAGCTATAGTTGCTAAGCAGGCAAGATGCGGACCTACGTGCTTCTCTGCTCCCGGAGGGAGCATATTTTACGCAACGTGAGCTCTTTGCGCCATCTCGCAAGTGATGACGAAAACGAGCTGAAGTTGCGAAGCTCCGAGGACCACCAAACGGTAAATCGTGCACACAAGTAGATAGCTTGCCGTTAGAATTCTTGAAAACGCACGTTTCATGGCTTAGTGGCTAGCGCTCTGCGCTGCCGATCCTGAGGTTACTGGTGCGACGCACCGTGACAGAAACTTTCGTTCATGCTTTTTCATGCTTTTTCTTACAGTTCTTGACTGTAAGATAGTATACTTGGGAAGTAAAAACAGCGCAAAAATATAGACAAGAACAGAGGAAGAGACGACACCGCGCTGACGACACCGTCACTGTGGTGTCGTTTCTTCCTCTGTCCTTGTCTATATTTTTGCGCTGTTCTTACTTCCCAAGTATGAACCACCAACTAGCCCAAGTTTCGCTATTATTGCAAGATAGTATACGTTTTGCAACGTCATATTCATGACGGGTATACGTGAGCGGAGCCGTGGTGGACCCCGACACGAAACACTTTCGTGTTAAAATGTAACAACTGTTTATGCAACTATAGCAGCAGCGTCGGGCAACCCTTCTGACACTACGGTCATGTTAGGTAGCGGAGAAATAATCCTCTACTAACCTTGGTGGCTTGGTTGAGTAGCCACCGCCGTTGGCGTTTTTCTGTCGTGTCGCAGCGGTGGCGCAGTCGGTCATCGGCGGCGTCGTGCAGCGTGCAGGCGTGTCACTCCAGTCTAGATAACGACGAGAGGAAGACTGCGTTGAATAATGCGCACAGCCACAGTATGTCGCCACATTGGTATTGTAGGGATCATTTTTGATAAATAAGCTGCCTAGTGGATTGTGCGAGGTCATGCTTTGATCCTAATTGAGCCCGTTTGGGCGGCATGGGGGTGGAAGTTGCGTGAACCCAATTTTAATCTCAATCGCATTGCTCTATCTTCCTTTCTGCTACAGATAACACCATGAAGAAGATTCTGAAGGCGATGGCCCACATCGAGTCTCAAACCTGCTTGCGTTTTGTGGTGCGCGAAAGGCAAAGGAATTACGTGTCCATCATTCGCGCAAATGGGTGAGCTGCTTTTCAGCATGTTTACGTGACAACACTACGTTAAGCGTGCTACACTTCGGTCTATGGAATTCAAAATCTACAACAGAGAATGGCGAAATTTGTGGAGCTCACTCAGTCTCGCTCATTAAACTTGTTATACGCTTTGTACTCACTCGGACTCACACCCATGAAAATTTTCTTCAACCGAACTCACTCGGACTTGAAGTCACAAAAAACGTTACTAACCCGAACTAACTCAGACTCAGACTAATGGCTTCGGTCTGAGTGTGAGTGGCTCTGAGCGAGTCGACTCATGAGTCCGTTAGTCTTGAATTAGCTCTTTCAAACCGGGTGTCCATGCTCTTCAACACCAATATCTCACGTAATCGGTGCTCTTCTTGGCACCGATTGATATAGCACCTTGGAATACGAGTGAGTTATGGGTGAGGTCATTTTTCTTGGAATAGATTACAACATAAGATATATTTATCAAGAACTTCCCCGGTATAGTGGTTCAGGGGCACATCAATACACCCCTCTACTTAATTCTCGCCTCTGATCAACAAATATTGAAATGGTGTATGAAATACACTGCTTTGGAATATGTGGGAGTAGTCGTGAGCTCAGGTGAGGTTGATAGTAATGCTGAAGAGTGTATAGACAGGGCCATAAATCGGCAACAGAAAATGGAACTCACTCAGGCTTACTCAAGGGCTATATACTGCGCTTCGGACTCACTCGGACTCAAAGTCACCAAAATTTTCCTCTGCAGAATTCACTCGGACCCCGACTTACGGCTCGGTCTTAGTGTGAGTGAGTCCTAGTGAGTCGACTTATGAGTGAGTTCGCTGACCTTAGATAATCGGTAGACGCTGCTGATGTACACGAAGCGCTCAAACATATATATGCTTTAACAATGTTATTGCGGGACACAGCACCGGTACCGGCCAACATCTTACGCTCTGTCATAACAGCACCAGATCTTCGCTCTACGTAATCCTTCCTCCATTTCCCGCATATATAAAATTCCACGTTGTATATTATGTTCCGAGCGAGCTGCTCAAGAAATGGCCCTCGTGATACAATGGCTGTGCGAAAAGGTGTTGTTGCGGTGTTTCAGTGTCAAACCAGGACACTTATCTGGTCAACTGAGATGTGCTCTTTTCGACAAATCCGTTCAGACTTTCTTGTAGCTTCGTGCAGCGAAACTATGCATGGAACTGATGGCAGCTTATGCCTTTGTGGCAGTAGCATTTCCCACATGCACTAAGTTTACTGGTTATTTTTTACCAAACTTCTTAATGTAGAATTATACGTTTAACGTGATGCGCCAATCGCAGTGTAAAGTGTCCTGGCCCTGCCACCAATATTGTTTCTAGAATTATTATTATTATTATTATTATTATTATTATTATTAGAAACTACTTTTCAAATGACCTGAATGAAGATAATTCACGTAATGCCAAAATGTACATACGTGTGCATACATGGGCATGGTAAAGTTTAGGCGCACGTTTCGAACCTAAACTCGCGATATACGCGCGTTAGGTGGGCAACCTTGGCAACCCTTTGAGTATGCTGAGGTAGGCAAGTTGGTTATTCGGAGAGTTTTCCTGGCAGAGGCGTAGAATAACCCTTATTCATTTTGAAGACGTGTAGAATGCGGTAATAATATACCTTTTTTCCCCGCAACAACCCAGGTGCAGTTCGTTCGTCGGACGCGTGGGCGGCGCCCAGAATTTGTCACTGGGCAGCTACTGCCTCTCCCAGGGTGTCATTGCACACGAGCTGTTGCACGTAGCAGGCTTTGACCACGAGCATTCACGGTCCGACAGGGACGAGTACATCGACGTGTTCACGGAAAACGCGCAACCAGGTATGTACTGTGACACAGATGAAGATCGGGGGGGAGAGAAGGGGAGGTAGCACTTTTTAGGGGCGAAGCTCCTTATAGCGGCACCCGTTCGTCCCTCGTAGTATGTAACAAGTATAACATTTTGACCTCCAAGGTGGTGCCGGTGAGAGACTTCTTCTGTGCGTTGTTGAACAATAAAAAATAGTGCTCAATGTACATGTCAATGGCTGCTAATGGGGAATGAGAGACAGGAGCATTCGGCTTTTAGTTAACGCGCAGGCTGCGATCACCATTAGCAGCCATTGGCATGTACATTGAGCACTATCTGACAAGAAAGGGTTGCTACGTTATACTCGCTCGGTGTAACCTCCTTAGCTTTAGAAAGGTTTAGCGAGCGTTGAGCCGCAGTGCCATGAATACAATGAACTTGTATATACCATGAATTACCTCGAGGTGGTTAAAAATGGGAAGTAGATACGAAGCGCAAGCCGTAAGAAAGAAAAAGCCGAATTCTCCGTCTCTCATTTCCCATTAGCAGCCATTGGCATATACATTGAGCACTATCTGACTGAAAAAGTTTGCTACGTCATACTCGCTGGGCGTACAATAGGGTTGAGAGCTGGGCTAGTTGGTGAGACATCATTTAACCATATGGTGTAGTAGCGCAAATTCACAAGGACGAAGAGGACAAGAAAACACGACACTCGCTACACTCGCAACTAATTTTTATTTCAGAAGCAGCACTTCATATATAACCCATAACCCTAGCGACACAGTAAAGAACTACGAACACTGAATCATTGCCCACAGAAGCTTTTGCGCAGACTCAAGCGATAGTACACGTGTCGATAGTGTCGTGTTTTCTTGTCCTCTTCGTCCCCGTGAATTTGCACTACTACACCATATGGTCGCTGGGCGTAACCTCCTAGGTTTTCGAAAGGTTTAGCGAGCGTTCGGCCGCAGTGCCATGAATACAGTGAACTAGTATATACCATGAACTCGAGGTGGTTAAAGGTGGGAAGTGGACCCGAAGCGCAAGCCGTAAGAAAGTGTGCGTGTGCCACCTCTCGTTTAGTCCTTGGAATGTCCGCTGGATGGCGGTGCTTCTATATGGGGAATGTATGATGAAAAGATGCGAGATGGTGGTACTTGGAGTGTTGAATAGATGGACGAACGGACACATAGACATTTGCATGGATGGACGCACGAACGGACGCAAGGGCGGCTGCATGGACGAACGCAGGGACGGATGCACGAACAGACGCACGCACGGACGGGCTGATGGACGCATGGACGGTCACACTGACGGACGCATGGACGGACGGAAGCAAGAACGAATGGACGGACGAATTCTTCGCCCCACTCTTCATCATTCACTCCATGGATATGCTGCCATTTTTTTTTTTTCGCTATTCCCGTTCAAAAGGAAGACAAGCTGCAGTAAATGTTATAGTTAAAGGGCCCCTAAACTACCTCAGATATGTATTTTTTAACAGTCTATGTAAACGTGAGCATCATTTTCGGAATGCCATCATGATCAACAATCCCTCACGTGGCAGCGCTACGAACCGCGAGCACGCCCCAAAGTCCAAGAAGCCATTCCTTGTTCCCTACCGAACATCTATCTATCTATCTATCTATCTATCTATCTATCTATCTATCTATCTATCTATCTATCTATCTATCTATCTATCTATCTATCTATCTATCTATCTATCTATCTATCTATCTATCTATCTATCTATCTATCTATCTATCTATCTATCTATCTATCTATCTATCTATCTATCTATCTATCTATCTATCTATCTATCTATCTATCTATCTATCTATCTATCTATCTATCTATCTATCTATCTATCTATCTATCTATCTATCTATCTATCTATCTATCTATCTATCTATCTATCTATCTATCTATCTATCTATCTATCTATCTATCTATCTATCTATCTATCTATCTATCTATCTATCTATCTATCTATGACTTTTAGCTCTCCTGGCCGTTTCGTTAATGGTATCAACACGAATATTGGTTCGGCATAACATTACTGTATGACGAGCATAATTGACTAGTCATAACATGGCTATCATGATATGTATCTCGTTAATGTCATGCTTTATATTTCAAGGTCTTGCAGCTCTTGCGGTAATTTCGTTCACATGACATGTTGCAAAATTGGCATGGTATTACACGACTGCATGGCAAACACAAGTGACAGACTCTAACGTGGAACATGATTACGTGCCACACTCATGATGTGATCGCGGCCGTTTCGCTAGCATCGCGTGTACCAAATTTGGTATTACGTGACGCGAACGGATGACTAATGTAAATTACACGTACATACATAAAAATCATTAGATGCGTGTCTTGTAAGAACATGACTATGGGTCACACTCAAGGCGCCAAAACACTTCGACGTGATCCGGCGTGCGTGTGCGCTGGTGTTCGTTTTGTGGCGTGAGGCTGGCGATGCCACGCCCGGCGCCGATCTGCCTGCCATATACGCGCAGGCGCATGCCGTGGTGCGTTCCTATGACGCATGCGCGTTCGAGCGCACCCGGCGTCCTTCCGTCGAGAAGCTAAGCAGACGCTGTGCGGTCTAAGTGACGTCGTCGGCGCGAAATGAAGCATGTCGTATTTCGAGCCAGTTGCCGCCGGGCCTTGCCGACAGACGATAGTTGCGCCTAGTGTCATAATATAGAGTGCTCGCGTTTTGCTACGTAGTGTGACGTAGTGTCAACACTACGTGGGCTCACCACCACTTCGCTAGCTTCACATACACCAAGTTTGGTATTACGGGACTCGAATAGACGACGAAGGTATGTGACACGTCCAAACATGAAAATCATGATATTCGTGTCGTGTAAAACATCACTACATGATACGCTCATAGCGTGCTCGCGGCCGTTTCGCTAGCTGCATACACACCAAATTCGATATCAGGTGACGTGAATAGATGACGAATGGAAATGACACGTCCAAAGGTGATAATCATGACATGAAAGTGATGTACGGCCTTATTTACTCCCGCCTCGTATTGTTGTGCTGATATTAAAGTTACAAGCTTATCAAGTTATCAAGCTTTCTCATTCGTGCTTCGCCTATCAGCGATTTCCAATGTACGTGGAATCTGCCAATTTTTTGAACTAGTCAGTTCATGTTTCTGTACAAGCCACAAAGGCATGACTGCTTTTGTGCGACAAAAGAAAAAAAAAAGCCTGCCCTTGGTTTTTCGTCACGCAGAAGCAGCCATATTTGTGCGAGTATCATCTTGTAGTAACATAAGCATGTAAAGAGTCCGTATCCTGAGTTGATCAATCATATTCGGCCTCAGTGTCCACAACTTCGTGTGGCGCAAAATGTGGAGAGGCTGAAGTCTCTGTATGCGCATCTTTCCCCAACGAGAACGTGAGCGCCAACTAAGAGCGATAATAGACAGTTTACCGAACCGCAGTGCGCAAGTGCAGGAACGTGACCCATACCACTCACCGTAAGAATTCTATTTTGCAGATTTAACATTACCATGTTAGCGTGGTGCATGTATAGTGTGCGTAAACATGGCGGTGCTTTCAGACTTTGGCTTCAAAATTATTTTGGCGCAGTTGTTGTTCACTTCGTTCGCAGGAAATGACTGCTTAAAATGGCTTAGTCTACCTTCAGTTAGATTCGATGACCGAGTATTACGGATAATTTTTGAGATAGCTTCCCATTTCAAAGGTATCTAGGCCTTACTGGGAGATCAATGTAAGCATCACGAACATAAAGGTTATTGCGTTTAGTGCGCGGTTCATATTTATTTACACTTTTTATTACTAATATAAACTTGTAACATAGCTTCGCTCGGTGACACAGGCAGACATTCTCGTTTTATTTTCCTTTTTTATGTTGTTTAACTTATTAACCATCCGAAAGGTAGCGCCATCATCTCAGCTAGGAAACGTAAACCACGTAAACGGTGTCCCGCTAAACTATACAAGACACCGTCTGCAACGAACGTTGGCTGCACGTTAACGCTATTCCCTTGACCCCCACTATCACGCTAACGGTAAACTATAGCTGTCTATTATGACGTTATGTCGAAATCCGTAAATGGCCAGTAATCGAAGCTGTGAAGAGCTTTACCACTGATATTCGTATGGACGTTTCATGTAGTTCCCTTATCTGGACCTTGCTTTGACATGCATGCTCGATTTATTTCTCGCAGAAAACGCCGAGCAGTTCGTGAAGCTCGCACCGTCAAAGAACAAGTTGCTGACACCCTTCGACATGAACTCGATCATGCTGTATGGCTCGGAAACATTTGCCCGAGAGCCAGGCCTGGTCACTATGCTGGCAAAGGACGGCAGCCACCTTAAACCAGTTCACAAGAAGCGCGTTTTGAGCGCCAGCGACGTGCGCCGGATAAACATGTTGTATGAGTGTAGTAAAAATAAAAAGAGCTAACATTCGTATTCTACAGCTCCTATTCTGACTCGAAGTGGCGCGCTCAATTCACAAAAGACGATTGTTTAGAGGAGGGCGGATGCCACACTTGATTTTTTACTTTTGGCTAGAAGGCCTGTGTGCTGTGCTATTTCAATGCATGTTAAAGAACAACAGATAGTAAAAATATCTGGAGCCCTAGCCTACGGCGTCCATCATATTCGTATTGTGGTTTTGGGGCGTGAAACCCCCGTAGTAAAGTTAATGCGATAGTGATTACAAGGGCACTCTCCCTGGGTTTCTTCAATCATCGCCATGTTCCTTATCAAGCATACATCGAGAACGTCGCCCGGCACATCGTATACTCTCTACGCCCGAGTAAAAAAATGCCCCCACCTTCCCAGAGAGAATCGTGAGGACATGGCCTCCTGGATCGGGCACGCGCGGTGGTGTCCAGGCGGCCATGGTGAGGAAATGCGAAAGTATTTCTTGCGCTGAGAGAGGGCACTGTTGCTGTCAGACATTCGCCTTCACCGACTTCTTCCATCACCTCGAGAGGCACCCACACAGAACACCTACCAGTTTAGAGAACGGAAAATGTACCTTTGGGCTGTTGTATCACAATAACATGCAAATACGTAGCAGCGGCGTACTGCACGGCGATACCGCGAGGCGCGAGGGCGCTGGTAGTACTATCATCAACAATACACAGACGGATTTTTTTTGCTGCAGGTGGGGAGGCCCGCGGCTGGTTCGCGCTGCTCGCTTCCTCTGGTTTTTTTAAGTGTGAATGCACTTTATAAGCGACCCCAAACCATCCACCGCCGTCGGCGGCGTCCGCAGTCTTCTCTCTATCTTTAAAAGAAACAGGACTTGGCGGGTCGCAGCGCGACGCTCTACCGAATAAGCCACGGACGCGACGCTGATATCGGTGTCAGTAACGCACCTTATACCCCCTCCCCCTTCGCTCGCGCCTCCGCTCTCCTCGCTCGCTGCAGCTGCGCGCGCACCCCTCTCTCTCGCGCGCCCGCCTTCTCTCTCAGTCTCCCGTCGAGAGCGGGTCGTGAGGGGGAGTAAAGTTAAAATCCGTTGGCATTCGCCAGTGAGTTAACGTAAACTCCCCCGTCTGATCAAATTGCGATTCCCTGGAACCATTACACCATAAAGGCACCATAGTGTGATTAATAAATATAATAATGCGAATTAATAAATACCCCTCATAGCATCACTCCGTGCATTCGCACTTAACCATGTTCACCTTCGGGGAAATGCTTGGGAGTTTTTTTCGTTGCTAAATCGCGCTTCGCATCTGTAATTATCGCCAGGTGACCTAGCTGGCCTCGACCGGCAAAAACAACGTCAATCAAGTAAGGTTTGCATCGTTTATTGCGAGTGTCAAAGCCGGTACAATCAATGTATACGGTCGGGTCCGAACATAACAAGTCACTCACACATATCGAAAGCTTTCAACCCATGTGTAAAGACTCTTGAAAGCTAGCAAGCATATGGATATAACTGAACATCGAAATCGCTGAATGAACGTCGCTCTCATTGTGTGGCGGTGCTCGAGTTTAATAGCGTGGCTTCAGGACAAGGGTCCGATTCTGCCTTCAGATGTGGCGCTTGCCCTGTAGTGTTGGTCTTGAAGTGAAGTGAATGCGTGATGTAGAATCGGGAAGGAAGCTTGCACATTGCTGATAGATAGCTCGTGCAGTCAGGGCAATGTAGTTTTGTTAAATTTGTTAAATAAGCAATTGCGGATGCGTGCACTTCTGAATTTTTTTTCGCTCTGCAATGCTATATTGAGTACTTTACAATTGTGCAATGTCGCGTCGTGTCGACAGGGTATGCACTAGTTTTAATTCTCAGCCGTGAGCCCATATCATAGGTAACATGTATTTAGGTGATGGGCCTAAAATATTTCAGGCTTACTACATTTATTGTTAGAGTTAAGTTACACAGTTACTACAGCAAGAATTTCTCGTCGCAGGTAATTACCAGTCTGCTGCGTATGCAGTGAACATGTATGCTAAAGGAGCAGAGTTATGAGGTGTGTGCTTACAGATCGAAAATGCCCAATTCTAAGAAAATAAGCTTTTGGCATGCATTTTGCATTTTTGTTGTTTGTACAGCTTTGTTGGTGCTCTTACAGTCCACTATCTGCTCAGCTCTGAGCACACACTCTTTTGCACAGACACATCGATAGAACTTGAGAACTCTCTTGCAAGCAATCACTCCTGAAATCAAATGGTGGTACATGATGTGAATCTGTCCAAATACTGGATCAATAAAGGTAACATTTATTACACACTTATTATTGTGTTTACTTTTTCAGTATACTTGTGCTTGAAATCTGAAGTTGTTTTGTCCCTGCTACTTTTAGAGGTTAGGACTTGAAATACGTACTATCTTTCAGTGTGGCTGGGAATAAGTCAAGATTATGTATGTTTCAACTACCTGTGCGATTTATTAGATTTTTTTCATGACCGTAGTGCACAAAATTTCTCTTCATAGTGGTAGACACTATAGTTATGACAACTTAATTTAAACAGAAGCAGATGTGCACAAAGAAATCTGGAACGTTTTTCTGCAAAAAAAAAAAACAGTACCACATGCAATGAACAAAAACTTGCTCTTTACGACAGCATTCACGTTTTTGAGGAAGCTGTGCTGCAAGCGCTCATCACCTTTTTGATTTATTATTTTAGAAGTCCATTGAACATATGTGCAAAGCAAAAGCAATTGAGTGCAGCTTTATGAGCTTCGGCGCAACATTTTGTAAACATGTATGAGCTAAACACAGCTACTTAAGACAAAACAGTTCTGGGTGTTGTTGGTAAACTGTCATAAGGCACAACTAAATGTCGGAAAGCCTGTTAATGCCTATCACTGGGGGTGTGTTCATTATGTAGTGCAATTAATAATTTCCAACAATTCACATGCTAACTATGAAGTCATCGTGAGTCGTACAGTAGTGGGTAAATTAGGTTGATTCTGGCTTCCAGGGGTTCAAACAAATCACAATGTAGGCTCACAGGAGACAAGACTGCTTGTCGAAACATTTGCTTTGACCCCTTATGTTAACATATTTTTCATAATTTCCAGCTTCCATTTTTTAAGGGTCAGTTTAGTTCACCTGCACCAATCCGAACTGGTTCACAGCTGTGCACGAGAAGTTCAGAACTTGTGCGGCAGGAGTTGTGCGGTGCGGCATCACAAGTGAATGACAAGGTGCCGACAAGGTGGAATCCTTATTTTTGTTCGCCTAATTTAGTGAGGTGCAAACATCTTGGCAAAACACGCCGCATTTACAGGGGTGGGTACAGCACCTACGTCTAATGCTATGTTGTTTGTTTAGCTGTCCGAGCGGCTGCACCAAACCAGTGCCGTCAGAGCAGAAGGTACAGGAAAGACATGAACTAGTTTTGGTGATGTACCTCTCCTGCGCTTTTTGAAATGAATGGCAAGATTTAGAAGATGTCATTGCTGTGCCACTGAAACGAATGGCGAGGTGCAGTACTTTGTATAACGGAAAAATATGGTGCAGGCGAATCGAACAAACCTTTAAACACACAAGCGTCTTAGCGTTTCATCCCCATCGAAATATGGCCACTGTGGCTGGGATCAAACAGTTTGTTGTTGAGCTCAGCACTAGCACACACTCTAACAGTGTTACAGTTTCAACATTATTGAAGTGTAGATTCCGTGCCATGGTAGACAGCCAATGATTGTGGCCAATCTAAAGCACCCCTGCATGATAGGCGCGGTAAAACATTCACAAATACAGTATTACATGTGTACGATTTGAGATGACCTGTTGTAGTGGATATTCAGATGTTTCAACGTGCTTGCAGAGTGAACATTCGGGGGTAGTCATCCTGTCATTGCATGGCAGTTTGGAAAAACAAGTAACATCATCACATAATATTGTATTGCATTGCAAGCACGTGCTCCTGCAGCATTTGCAATGGGAGAGAAAGTGAGAGCAGAGAGATAACGCCTGCCGGCTCGCGGCCGCCGTCGCGGACGCCGCCGCCAGATGACTGACATAACCCGACTAAGAAATGCATTCGTATTTAAGACGCCTGATCGCTAGTGATGAATGTGGCTAAAAAATTTAAACGAGCTGGCCATCTCCGTGGCACGAATGGCACATGGGATGACGTCGCCACGCGTGCATGGCCTGCCCAGAGAACGCCTACCACTGGCCTGCTGTCGATGGCTTCTCAAGTGGAGAGAAAACGTACCGCAAATATTTTTTTTCTGGCAAAAGAGCATGAAAGGGCGTCGCTATAATATACTAGAAATTCGGGGCCTGTGTATCGCTTCATCACTCGAGCAAGAACTGCGAACATTGATCGTAAGGCACCTTCGCGAAAGCTGGCCCATGCGCCAATATGACAGACATTCGGAGAAGTCTGCTATACGTGCTGTACTTCCCGTTGAGACGATAGGACAGCACGAACACCACTTTGCTCCTTGGGGCGGCCGCATTCGCTTGTTCTTTGTAATCTCTCATAATCTGAGTTAGCTGCCTTGCTTGGTATATTATTCCAATTTATTGCTGTCGCATCATTTGCTTCTCCTTGTAGTGAAACTGTGATTTTGAACAGTGAGGCTGTTCAAGCTATGCCTGATTTGTGCGGCACATCATATAATATAAATAGGGATGTGCCGCATAATTGGACAGATCCCACATCTCGCCGTAAGTCCACTGAAAATGCACGAGGCAACAGTTCGCCCGACAGCAAATGTCAGCGAAGCGACGGCCGTGGGGCGAAGGTTACAAGTACGTGTGTCGAGAGAACTCAAGGGAAAGGGAGAGGCAATGGCGGCTTCGAGGAGACCCCTAAGCGATGGAAGGCGTATGACAACGACGATTCATCCGTAGATCCGTGAGAGGTATAAACGCTTGATTTCAGCGCGTGTGTCTGCCTTTAGATTTTTCATATTCGTATCGTTGAGTGTTTCAGTTCGGCCGAAATGGAAGCACTAGGTGTCCGTTTTATTCTCCAACTTCCTTTGTCTT